TATTTCAATCAATTGTATGTTTGTATTACACAATTAGATAAATAAAACAAAATTACTTTTTAAAAAAGAAAAAGAAGAGAGGGAGTGTGGGGGCAGGGAGGAACAGGACTTTGTACCAGTAAAATAACCTCCATATTTTGTTTAAAATATAAGTGCATAACATGTATAATTGACTTATAGGTTGTGTGTATGTTCTTTAAAGCCCCTCTGCATTATTTTTGGCATGGAGGATTAGACTTCCCTGCAAGGTCACTGGCAGCTGGTTATCTCATCAAATCAGCTCTCGAATAACATAAAGGCCCGGTCACACAGCCTTTCGCGTCTGTATCGCGGGTAAAATTTCGCGATTTTTTTTTTTGCCCGCGGTTGCCCGTGGTTGAAAATGTGCAAAATTGGCTTACCCGCGGTTTACCCGTGGTATGCCCGCGGAACAGACGCCGGCGACTGTTCCGCGTCCTTATCGCGGGTGAAGCGCGGCAGTACCGCGGCCTACCACGCTTACACGCGGTACACACGCTAATGCACGTGATAACAACGCGGTACAGACCGTGCTCCACCCGCGATTACCCGCTAAAATTTCGCGTCCAATTCCGCGTGTAACCACGTCTTAACCGCGGCCGTAGCACGTCCTAGCACGTTCGTTCCGCGTCTGTACCGCGTCTTTATCGCGTGTGTACCACGTGTACCACGTGTACCGCCCGCGATTACCCGCGGTCTAAATTTTGGGGCAGCCCAAATTTTTTTCGCGCGGCCAACCGCGTGTGAATTTCTTACCGCGTGTAACGACGGGTAAAGTACGGCTGTATCGCGTCTTTATCGCGACCTCAAAGCGTCCAACAGCGTCTGCTTCACGGGCAGAAATTTTTGGCCGTGATTCGGCCGCGATACGCCCGTGGAGGGCTGGGTGACCGGGCCTTAAGGAAACGGACATCATGGGGGATCAACGGGTACCGCGGAGGCATTGTTGGCCGTATAAAGGGCGCAAGTAGCTTTATGTAGTGCAGTGGGGTTTTAGGTTTACTTTGTTGCACAATTATATATACTGCACATTAGTTTTTGTATAGTTATGTTTATGTTAAGTAATGGATATTGAAAACTTTTTTTAAAATTCAAAGTATGTTCTTGTTTGTGTTACACATTGGGAGGAATAAAACAAAACTACAGAGAGAAAAAAAAGTTTGTGTGCGTGTGTATGTCCTTGTGCGTGTAGGCGTGTTTGTGTGTCAATGTGTATGCGAGAGTTGCATCAATATTCTTTCTGGGCAGCCAACATGGGTGGGGAAGGTGTACGCATGTGCAGTGAACAATATGCTGGCAGGAACGGGTGAATGAAGACAGGGATATGAGTGTGTGCGTCGATGGACCAGAGAGAGAATTGGGGATGGGTATTAATTGTGAGTGAGTGGGTGAGAGAGAGAGGGAAAAGTTGGTGAGTTAGTTGAATTAGTAGATGTGAATAAGAGAAAGAAAACCAAATGAATGATCGACAACGAAAGTAAAACAATAAATCCATGGTTTTGCGAAAGAGCGGGTGAGACGATTTTTTGGAACAATACAGGTTTGTAATGGAAACTGCTTCTATCTTAACGGATGAGGTCCATGGTAACGCTTTACGGTCCCCTTTGGGTCACAGAGACAGAGCCCCTTGCCGGGAGTCTAGCCGGGGGCAGGAATCCCCTAATGCTCTCCAATTTTACTAATTAATAACATTCAGCATTGCGGTCTTGAGCGATAGAAACTGTAATCTATTCCTTGATATTTGAACTGCCTCTATGATAATATGTTGTTGGAAATCATATCTGTCTATCACATGCACTTCCTCTCGCTTTCCCCCCCCCCCCCCTCTCTCTCTCTGTCTCTCTATCTATCTGCATGATTTGGTTTCAGAATCTGAGACAAAGTTACCCAATCGCTTTAATGCAGTGAGAAGCTTCACAATTTTGAAATTATATACACAAAGTATACTGTTTCAGGAAGAGCTAAATACTGAACGTCCATCATGCTGACCAGTAATATATTAAATGACCTCTAGCTTCAAATATGACCATGTGATATTTTCGTGGTTTTCTGGTGTCTGGTCACATGTCCCTTCTTTTCTTAAATCTAATCGTAGCCTAATTTTTATAAAGCCTGGGACATAGTAAGAGGGCGCTCGACAACAATCCTTTCTAATGTTGTTGACTATAGGACAGTTTGGTCAACCCGGATCGAGCGCGACTAAATGTACTGTTTTGATGGGCTAGCTCATAGGGTGTATTACTAAATCAGTCACAAGGGGGCGCTAGAACAACTCGCCCCTTCTTACTGAATGAGTCATCAATTGTTTGGAGATCTGTGATGAAATTCATGTTTGCTTTTACCACAATTTCGGGAATCAAGTACCCAAATAGATAACTTGCCATATACAGCTTCATAATATGTTGTTTATATATCTTCTTGTACAGATGCCACACATGTACCTTTTTACTGTCGTAGATTTGAAACAAAGTAAATTGTTATCATTTCCTATGTATCTTTATCTTTTTCCTATGTATCCCCCCCCCCAATAAAAAAATGATTCATAAAATATGGAGCTTACCTAAATAATTATATTAAAAATAGAATATCTAGTCACTGTCAAACAGGATGAAAAAATACCTATATTTCTGCGATAGTTTATTAACTGATTGTGCTGCAGACCCACAAAACACATACAATGAGAGATCAGACTATGAACACACACATACACCAACTACCTCTCACACACACACACACACCCACACGTACATATCCATATGTGCATTATCCCAAGTGTGGAACAGCTGAAAATTTAGTTCTATCCCTTGTTTGGCATATAGTAATCTTAGTAACACAATGTAGTTTTTCTCCTTATCTGCATCTTTGTCCAACTTGGACCCCTTTTCTGCACACTATCCTCATCTTGCTTCCTTCTTCATTCGTTCCTTCTCTCTCTCTTTTCTCCTGTCACCCGTCTTTGTATATTTGTAAGTAAGTTTTTTAAGGGGACCTATGTTATCACAAGCTTCGCTTCTCTAATTGAATTCTTAATTCCATAGTACATACTATGACAGTAAACGATACATGGTAAAACCATGATAAAGCAATGGTACTGATGAGTTCATAGTTAAAAGTATTGTTCAATACAACAGTTTACTGGTGACCATGGTGCATGTGTCCCTTTCCTTTTACCATGATAAACAACGCCTTTAATCATTTGCGGGTTTTTGTTATTTTAATGAATTATACTATACAGACGTATACACGTATTCATAAAGCAGTAATATTCGAAATCAATCGAAATATCAAACTCGAATGCACTTCTAAAATCTTCAGGAGTGTCTTTCATAATGTAGTATTATGTTGTCGTCGCTATCCACAAGTTATATAGTTATCATATTCATATCAATTACATGTTACAAAAAACTGTTCATCATACTGTAAGTACTGTTCATTAAAATATACTTCTTGTTTTTAACCTGAAGAAGGAAGATGCCTTCCGAAAATATGTATACTTGAAAAAACTTGAATACTAAACAATTGGATAATGGTAGCAATATTTATATTAATTATAGATCAGTGATATAACAAGTATATATATATATATATATATATATGTGCGTTAATATACACATCTATTATCTATATAGTTAACAACCACATATCCAATGTACATCATTAAGGCAACAAGTATTAATGACATGTTAATATTATACTTCTTTAGTACAGGCAGTAAGTTACACAAGTTATAGAAAGATAATATCATGAATAATCCGAACTGTAATAAAATGTAATGACAAAATAAAGCAAAAATATATCATTTTCATCCGAAGGGTACCCTCATTTTGAGATATTCAACAAAAGTAAACAAAGCAAATGAAATGTTGAACAAACTATTAGTCTCTCTATGTAGATCAGACATTTATTACTACCTCTGCTACAACCCTTTTCTTCGTTTTTCTTTCTCTTTCTTCTTCTTCTTCTTCTTCTTCTTCTTCTTCTTCTTCTTAACATTATCATTAGAATAAGTTTTATTATTTTTTCATCTGCTTCTACTACTTTAACTCCTACAATTGCTACTGCTTTTAACCAACGTTTCTGTGGTGGTACTATAATAATCATAATAAACGATAATGCCATAAGTCTGGGTTTGAAAGTAAAATCCGCTTGAGTTCTACTCTCCTTTCCATGAACAAACTGTCAAGGTACAATACGTTTCATCACTTTTACTATACGAAGAAAACTTTGTAACTTTAGCAGTCTTATACTTTCAAATTAAATTATTTGTTGAAAATTATGTGGCTAGTTCTAATAACACTGGTTAAAACAAATCTGCTTATTTCTACAACCTCATTCGACCACAATGAACATTATTATAAATGTTAACTTTAGTTAAATAGTTCGTCTTGCTATTTTGTCTTTCTTTTTATATATTACTACACAACCGGCGAAATGAGAGTTGTTCTCGCACATTCCCAATGTATGTATCACACATATTCATTACCTCAATAGACATTCCCCTAAAGGTTTCCTTAAAATGTAGTTTTCTTACAATAGCTCCGGTTCGCCTATATTATCAATTAATTGTAAATCATATTGCGTTCTACAATCCTACCTTTGTGTTTAATACAAAATTGATTTTCAGTTAACCTGATTTCACGAGAGCATTCATCAGATTTTACATTATTGTTTCCATAACTTTTCATTTAACACGAGATTTGAATTTGAAGGGAAGGAATTATTAATACAAATGCTCGTGAAAATGATAGCCTAGTGATGAATTCAAACTTAAAACAATGTTTTTTTTAATCTGAATTTCTAGGATTGTCATTCATGAGTTCACCCCGTTTAGTTACAGGGTGGAGTTAGCTTATATGATGTACTTTAACGTTATTGAATTGAATTGAATTGAGTTGAATTTATTTATTCACCACCATTGAAACACTGAAACAAAAGATATATATAAATGTACAATGACAATGTCAATACAACATAAATACATGACATGAATTATAAAAATACATGTTCTACAGCGATATACATGTACATTATACAAATATTAAAAAACAGTTATAAGTAATTTTAGTGTCAAGAGTAAAACATTTAATGACTATTTACAATGAGTTTGTGATCGATGGTAAAATAGAGTAAAAATAGCACATGTGCTAGTCGAGTCTGACTCTCGTTATCTAAAACCTGAAATAAAGTTAATTGACAAATACACAATGTGTTTCCAAATCCTAAAAATAAGATTTGTGTATAATATTACAATTTAAAAAACGAGACTGGTTGCTATATACATCTACGGTATTTAATTACAAGGTTATAATTCGTGGTTTTCACCCAAGAATATTTGTGTAAGTTTGTTACAAAAAGAGCTTCTTGATCTCTCAATTCTTAGATCAATAGGAAGCATATTCCAAAAATTACTTCCAACAAACGAAACAGAAAACTTGCCTTGGTCTGTTTTGAATAAAGGAAGACGTAGTTGTCGACCCGTTTTTTGGCTTGTGGAATATTCATGTTGTATCATACTGCAATAATGTTTTAAGGAATGAGGTAATCGTTCATTTATCAAATCAAACACAAAAGTACAAATAGATAATTTATGCAATTTAAAAACATTCAACCATTTGAGGTCATGAAACAGTGCATTAGTATGAGAACGATGTGGCTTGAAAGTTATAGCACGTACAGCCATCTTTTGAGTGTAAAATATACAATTCAAGGGTCATATGTAATATGTGGCTGTATCAGAGCCTTATACAACCGTATCAATATATGTTTAGGGACAAAGTGCCGTAATTTAAAGAGGATACCCGGCATTTATCTCATTACGTATAAACCTATGACAAGAAATCACTGGAGTAATCACAGGAGTAATCTAAATTTGCACTAAAATGGCATAAGATATATACACAGCAGAACTGTTGCATAGACTTAAATATGAAATCTAAAATTTAATCAATTTGACCGATGCATTGATGAAAACTTTTCTGATTCATTCATTACGTAATATACGAGTGTTTTATCTTTATTTATGGTAGTTAACATCATGAACCATAGTAAAACCAATGAAAACAGACAAATTAACGGTTTTTGTTTTGACCTCATCGGAGTAAATCGTATTAATTAATATTTAATAAAAAGCCGAAACTTGACAGTTTAAGTGGAAGATGCAGAAAAAAAACCGCGCGTTCATTTTTGCGATTTATTCTGATGATGAGGGTGACACTAAAAAATAAAAAAAATAACAATTAAAAAAAAAATAGATAATGATCATACCCTCAAACAAATTGACGTAAATCCGCTTGATCGTAGTCATTATTGTAACTTAATCAATATAAGAAATGATGTATGAGGTCCTTCAACGAGCATATTGGTGTATGTCAGGTATAAAGCAACGGTACAGGTCAGCTTGACCGGTAGTGTGTAGTCATCGCTGATACTCAACCAATGTGAGAAATGATATAAGACTTGTCATCGTCCACATTACCATCCTGATAAATAAGACAAGTGATAACATAATAAGGACAACATAAAACGTAATAAAATATATTTTTTAAATAAAGAAGCAATGCTGAAGAATACAATTGCATCAACAAATTATTTGGTTGGTTGGTTGTTATTTTTTTACCTGACTGCTAAGAAAGCATAAATGCTTGTAAGTAAGCAACCGGACGACCGACGGCTTTAGTTCCTCTCCGAGTGACCTGGTACTGAGGATTAATGCCTCATACCCCCTTCACATACACGGATTTTTCTTACGAGTCCCTACGGATCGCACAAATTCACGGATCTTTCACGGATCCTTACGATTTTGCCACTTTTACGACCGGTTTAAGAATTATTACGAGCTGTTTGCGGTTTATTACGGATTATTACGAGTTATTACGATGTATTTACGGCAACAGTCCACGATTCGTTGCGAGTCGTCACGGATAACTACGAGCAACTAACGTGTTAGTTACGACCTGTTTACGTGTTGTAACGAATAGTTACGAGTAAGTTACGAGTATTTACGAGACCTTACGAATTTAACCAAAAAATAACAACTGAAAATGAAGTGTTCGTACTTGCAGTTTTTATACCTTTCCCCAAATCGTAAACAGTTCGTAAGCATACGTAAAGTATACTTATCTATTCGTAAAGTCCTCGTAACTACACGTAAAATGCTTGTAATAACCTGTATCAATCCGTAAAGCCATCGTAAAATGACCAGAATAAAATCGTAAACAACACGTAAGCACACGTAACCATCCGTAAACTGCTCGCAATAATCCGTAAATAATCCGTAAACAAATCGTAAACTAACCGTAACGAATCGTTAACAAAATCTGTTACGAGTCATTTACGGATTCTTGCGAGCAGTTTACGGATGGTTATGTGTTGTTACGAGCAGTTTACGGATGGTTACGGATTGTTACGAGGTATTTACGAGCTATTTACGGACAAATCAATCCATGGACAATCGTAAGAAGATTTTTGACATGTCAAAAATTTGCCTCTCCTTTCACGGATCCTTAAGAGTGTCTATGAGTTGTTGCGAGTTGTGACGAGTTATTTACGGATACCAGCGAGTTATTTACGGATGCTTGCGATTGACTACGAGTTGGCGATCCGTAAGGACTCGTAAGAAAAATCTGTGTATGTGAAGGGGGTATTACCAAAGGGCACTAGCGCATCGACATGGTTTCTAACCCGGTTTCGAATTAGCGAATTAATATTTTCAAATTACTTATTCCATTGGGATAATTGGTGATTAATCTACGTTCTATAACAAGCTTGCTTCATAGGGAAACACAAGGTCTTTCTCCGGTACCATCGCATCGGACTAGGCATTGATATTGGCACAGTCACACCAATCAAACTAGGTGGATGAAACACAAGTTAAAAGGGAAGTCCACCCTGATATTGAGTTGGTTTTAATATTAGCAGAAACATTGAGATAAATAAATAAATGAAAGTTCGAAAAATAGAAGAGTTATGAATATATAAAGTTGCCATCAGTGAAACAAATATTTGCAACACTGTGACGTATCAAGCGAGCTCCTTTCTAATTTTATCTCTTTAGAAAATGTTATAAACTTTCACTTTTGTTGTTGTTTTGTTATGACGGAATAGATTTGTTTTATACAGGGTTGTATAAAAACATAATTGCATTAAATATATTTAAGTACATTTTTTGAAGGGAAAACATAGATTTTTTTTTTGGAACATGGCAAATGGGAGGGGAGCTCTTACGATACGTCACAGAGTCGTCAATTTGTGTTTGATTGATTGCACCCTCAAACATTCTTAACTTTCTTATTTGTATTTTTTTTCCTCAAAATTTCACTGACATGTTTCTCTCACTTTTCTGCTTCTTTTAAAACCAACAGGGTGAACTTCCCCTTCCTTGTTCTGCTTCCAGTTATTTATTGTTGTTATCCTCCTTCTTCTTTTTGACACTCTCGTGTTCTTTTCCTCTCTCCCTTTGTCACTCTCTTTCAATTCCCACCTTTCTCTCTCTCTCTTTTTTCTATTTTGTTTACCATACGATGTCACTTACGTGCGTCGGTTGCCTGAAATAACTGCTTTTATACCTAATGATTTATTACAACAAAATGTTCAAGGAATTAACGAGCACCTTTATTTGTCGATGATTACATACAGTTATAGAAGTTTTAATATAATTGAAAACATCCATACAACAAAAAGCATGAAAAGAAGAGGCGTAGGATGAACAGATTAAAGAACATGAACAGCGGAATAAGAAAACGAGTATGAAGGAAAACAAGGGCGGCGGAGTGTCTTTAAAAGTGTGTGTGTGTGTGTGTGTGTCGGGGGTGGGGGGGGGGGTCCATGAAAATGTCCCATTAACATGTGCTCCTCATTTAAAATGACTGAGAGCAATTTTTAAGCTGGAATTTGTAATATTTGTGAAGCTGTTCATATGTGTTGGAAAAGGGGCACCTACAAAGGTTTACATTAAAGTGGAAACAATACAATTTTCGTATAAAGGCATTGTTATATATCCCCGGCCTACTTAGTAATTCAGGGTTGATTTTCTCTCTATGTTTTCAAAGATTCTACCTCATACTTTGCAGTTGCATTTGTGGAGGTCTGAACATTCCTTTGAAAGAGATCGAAGCGATTTCATGAGTAGTGAATAATAATATTAATATTCGGTTCCTATATAGCGCATATCACATTACATAACGTCCCTATGCGTGTCTAAACAGCTTTAGGAATTATTATTCTAGCTTTAGTTCCGGCAGCCGTTATAAGCGCACAGTGCGTTTTAAGTAAAAATCATAACAGGTACTTATTTAGGTCATCTGAGTCGATTGCGGCAAATGTAGATTAATGTCTTCCCAAAGGACATTTGTGCCGCGGCGTGACTCGAACCACAGACCTTGTGATCCACAGTCCGGTGACATATCCACTCGACCACAACAACTTTCACAGAAAGTCGTATTTCAACTGATTAGATCAAATTATTAGATGAAACAACCGATCCTGGTGGATTTTTAAGCACGAGCTTATGGTAAACTAAATGGAACTTCGACTCCGCACAGTCGAAAATGATGCCTTCGCCATAGAGCAATTTTAAAAATAAAAACAGAAGCAATTTGTCAAATTCATGTTTAATTGTAATCCATTAAAAGGTTCTCAGAATATCGTGATTACAAGCTATTTTTCATATACATGTATGACCCTTTTATCTTTGCCCCCATGCCACTAAATTCTAATCAGTTCATTGGCTTTGCAAGATACATACATGCCTTGAGTTTGATGGTAATCCGTCCATCGGTTCTAATAATAATGCGATCACAAGCTATGTTTGCATATATAATAAGCCCAATGACCGTTGACATTTGACCTCATGACCCCAACATCTAATCAGTCCGTTGGCTCAGCAAGATACATACATGTCCTACGTTTAATGGAAATCTGTCCATCGGTTCTGATGATGTGATCACAAGCTATTTATGCACACATAATGAGACCTATGACCTTTGACCTCGTGACCCCAAAATCTAATCAATTCATTGGCTCTGCAAGATACATCAATGACTTAGGTTTGGCAGGAATACATCAATCGGTTCTTGAGATAACGCGATCACGAGAACGGGACGTACGGACGGACGGACAACTCGAAAACATAATGTCTCCGGCTACTTCGTAACGGAGGCATAATACAAGAATTGATCAGACATTTAATATGGTACATGTTCGTACTAAGATATCAACCATGAAGTGTTGGATAAAGTTCTAGATCAAAGAAATACTATCAGTTGTTTTAAAAAGGGGGTACATAGGAAGTATAGGTTTCGGGAAAGTAAGGAGTGATTAAAAGAGATTTGAAATTTGAAAACCTCTTCATTATTTAAACTGTAATATTCTTGAACATATGGAAATATATTGCATTAATAGTCTACGGAGTTCCAAAGGGCGTGATTTATAAAAAAAAGAAGATATGTTCGAAGATGCCTTGATAGCAGTTAAGTAGAATAGGTCATGGTAGCTTAGGCCGCGTTCATGCTTGATTTTGACGGCCAGAATCAGGCACATGTTACGTGTTTAGTTTAAAACACGCTTGCGTTCATGCTCACTTTTGTAGAATCACCGAAAAACGGCGATCACGAACGCCGATCGTAAACTCACAAAAAGATGCGTTTACAATTGTAAACGCGTTTAAATGGGGTCAACGCACTGACCTCTAGTGGGTCTACGTAGCATGCACAGTAAAGGTCACACAATGCCACACAAGGAGAATTGCCTGGATGAGAAGTAAGCATGAACAGCTACACCGTGGAACTGCGATCACGATGAGCGTTTACGATGAGCGTTTCAGATCGCTCATTCTACCTTCAAAATCAAGCATGAACGCGCCCTTATAGGGACAAACAAAAAGTGTAAAAAGGGCACGCTTCTTATACAAAATAGCTATCTGGAGAAGAGACACTTGGTGGCGTTGAAAACGAGAGCGTGGTTATATTTGGAAAGAATAAAACAGTTCGTTTTCATGAATTTGGGGCATTGCCCAGGATTCACTGCCTTTCACTGTGATGATAGAAAAAGGGTACCTGTAACGATACACAAAGCCGTTCACATTGTTTAAAAAGTAGATAATACGAGAACTCGAAATATAAAGAAACAGTAACAAAACAAATTAAGCAGAGGGAGATGATTCTGCAGAAAAAATGAACACAAAGCTAATTTTAACAAATAAAATGAGCCTAATAATGGAAATAAATTTAGAAACGGAATATTTGTAACGATAAAACAAAACAACATTGGTGTCATAACGGTTGTTATACTCGAAAAAAAGAAATATTAAAAGTTTACAATAGACATAACGTGGATCAATACTTACATGATAAACATGCACATTGAGGTCGCGGCGTGGAGATGTGTGAAGATCTTTGAGATGAGATTCCAATCTGCCGCCCTTTCTAGTACCACACAAGTAGAACCTTTGTCCAGAAAACATAGTGATGGCGGGAAGGTGCGTTGGGTGTTAAAGTAAAGAGAAAGAAGCAGAGAGAAAGAGAGAGAGAGGGACAAAAAGAGAGGAAGGGGGAATATATAGAGAAAGAGACATTAATAGTAGAGAGCCAGATACAAAATAGTCAAATTAAAATAGAGAAACAGACAAAGAACGCGTAATAGTATAGCTAGTATTATGTCGGGATTTATATATCATATTTTTTTGTATTTCCCATGAATGATTCTATTCTGTAAGCTTCAATACATAAAGTTACAAACTCCGAAAGGGGTGGGAGGGGGGAATATTTCATCAAGCCTTAACAATTATATTAAAAGTGATCAGATAAATATTAAGGGCCTCCAATTCACTAAGATGTCAGGCCCCGTTTCATTTATTTAAAAAAACAAAACAACAAATGTTTAAATGAATACAAAATTAAATCGATTTTAGCTTTAAAATATTATATTATATAGTCTATATAGATACAGATTAGTAATTGGTCGAATCGCCATCACGTGACTAGAGCTGCAATGATCTCCAACGTTATATTGTCCGATTAACGTCATCTCGGTCCGTTATATTGGACCGAGGAGCGTCATCATCTACGTCATACTGCATAGCTGCCGCAGTGCACTGCATGCAGACAAGATACTACTGCTCCGCGCCACCCCTTGCCCACCGCGAAAGTTAAATTTCGTCTGACCAAATATGACGACTGCAAGTCGATTTCAGTCCCTCGACGAGGAGGAATTAGACAAAATTGTTGACACGAAGGATTCTCATTGTACAAAGGCTTATCAATTTCAGATATTGGGGACTTCTCAGTAAATGAAGTGAATGGCTTTCTGCGAACGTTCTACGCTGAGGTAAGAAGAACGACTGGTGAGCTGTACGCTAAAAGATCTATGATAACCCTACGTTACGAACTACAAAAACATTTTACTAGAGTGAGGGAATTTTACATTGTGAATGATGCACAATTTAAACAATCCAGTGAATTGTTTGTGCCATGTTCGTTTAAGTCAAACTAGCTGGCAAAGGATCTGTCACCCAGGCGCGGATCCAGGATTTCTAAGGGGGGGAGGCCCAAATTTGAAATTATGCGAGCCAAATATTGGTACGTAATGGTGACCAGCAGTGACGTAATGGGGGAGGGGTGGGTGCAGCGAGGGGTGAGATTTTCCCCTACCTCCTCCGCGAAAGCTTCGACATTTCAATAAATTATTAGAGAAAGAAGGCAATTCGTTGTACCGTCCCAAAAATAATCCTCGTTTGAATTATGTTTTCCCCCCCTCCCGCGCGAAGCGCGGAAGCTTGGACGTTTCATTAAATCATTAGAGAAAGAAGACGATTCGTTGTGTCGTTATCGACTCTTAATCTTCGTCTAACTTCAGTTTCCCTCCTCCCGCGCGAAGCGCGGAAGCTTTTACGTTAAAGTAAATCATTAGAGAAAGAAGACGATTCGTTGTACCGTTCTCGACTCTTAATCCTTGTCTAAATTCAGTTCCCTCCCCTCCCACGCGAAGCTCGGAAGCTTCGATGTTTTATTAAATTATTAGAGAAAGAAGACGACTCGTTGTACCGCTCACGAAAATAATCCTCGTCTGAATTTATTTTCCCCCCTTCCGGGCGAAGCACGGAAACTTTTACGTTTCATTAAATCATCAGAGAAAAAAGACGATTCGTTGTACCGTTTTTGACTCTTAATCCTTGTCTAAATTCAGTTCCCTCCCCTTCCGCGCGAGGCGCAGAAGCTTCGACGTTTCATTAAATTATTAAAGAAAGAAGACGATTCGTTGTACCGCTCTCGAAAATAATACTCGTCTGAATTTATTTTTCCCCTCCCGCGCGAAGCGCGGAAGCTTTTACGTTTCAATAAATCATTAGCGAAAGAAGACGATTCGTTGTACCGTTATGACTTTTAATCCTCGTCTAAATTCAGTTCCCCCCCTCCCCTCCCACGCGAAGCGCGGAAGCTTTTACGTTTCATTAAATCATTAGAGAAAGAAGACGATTTGTTGTACCGTTTTCGACTCTTAATCCTTGTCTGAATTAAGTTCCATTCCCCATCTTCCTGCGCGAAGCGCGGAAGCTTTGACGTTTTATTAAATTATTAGAGAAAGAAGACGATTCGTTGTACCGTTCTCGACTCTTAATTCTGTCTGAATTGCAAAAATGTTCTTTGTCTACTCCCTTTTCTTCCTACGTCCTCTTCCTTTTCACTCCTCTCTTTTTTTTAGGGGACCACCTAACCCCCCCCCCCCCCCTGGCTACGCGCCTGCGGTCAGATGAACATATGTTGATACCTTGTCCGCCCCCGGAAGCTTAGGGGTTTAAGGCAATAATTTACAGTCAGATTAGCATTCAGGGGTCCGCCTTAGGGCCCTAGGTGGGGTCCAGGGGCAGAGCCCCGAAAGTTCAGGGGTTTTAGGCATTTAATTACTAATTGGCGTGGGGTTCAGGGGGCGGAGCCCCCGGAAGCTCAATGGTTTTAGGCACTCAATTATGGTCAGATGAGTATCAAGGGGCACGCCTTAGGGCTCTTGGTTGGGTCCAGGGGGCAGAGCCCCCGGAAGCTCAGGGGTTTTAGGCGTTTATTTACGGTCAGATGAGCATTTTTTGACACTGGCAGGGCCTTTTGCCCCCTCCCCCGCCCCCGATCCACAACTTGTTGGCGGGAAAATTGCAACTGATATCACCCTTCTTTTATTTTCTTCTCCCTCTTTTCTCCTTCCCTTTATCTCATCTTTTCCTTTTTTCTTTCCCTTTCCTTCCTTCTCTTTTATTTTTTGATTGGGGGGGGGGAGGCAACAGCCTAGGAGACAAGTCCTCCCCCCCCCCCGATCTCCTTCTTCCCTCTTTTCTTTTCTTCTTCGTCTTCTTTTTTCCCTTTCTCTCCTCTTTCCCGTCTTTTCCTTCTCTCTCTCTCCTTTTTTTTTTTTTTTTTTTTTTTTTTTTTTGGCGGGGGGGGGGGGCGCAAGGCCCGCTCGGACCCCCCCCCCCCTGGACCCGCGCCTGCTGTCACCCACAAAGATCAAATTTCTAAGGAAGACTTTGTGAAAATAAAATCCTCTTTAACGTTTGATGTTAACACAGCTAAAGGACTTAAAAACAAAGTTGTTGTTGATATGATGCTTCATCTATACAATAGAGGCAGTGAAAACTTGTGCAACTTCGCTAACTCAGACTTTGCTATCAGTTCTGATTCTTCAAATCAAAGATTCGTCTACTTTGGTCGTGATAAGCCAATCAATAACCAACGCGGTGAGTGTATTGACGACTCTCGTAGTCAGAATGGACACATTTATGAAGCCCAATGTGTGGATTTCCCAGTAGTATCATTCTGTCTAAAATATTTTTTTAATCTCAATCCTTCCGATAATGCATTTTGGCAGCGTCCGAACACAATTGTTCAATTTAGATGAGCAGGTGTGATACAGTAATGTACCTGCAGGGGAAAATACACTTGGATAAAAAATGCAGGCAATTTCGAGAGAGGCAAAAACATCACGAATCTACACCAGTCATTGCCTTCATGCTACTACGATTCATACTCTTGATCAAACGCGTACGTAGGAGGGGGGGGGGCTGGATGTTGAACCCCCTTTCAAATTGCTATGATTGTTAAACAAAAAAAGAGGAAAATAATGATGTCCCCCCCCCCAAGCCAATGAACGAAATATCTGACGATGTAATTTTCCAATTTCCGAGGCAAAAAAAAAGGTGCTCTTACCACCCCCCCCCCCTCCCACCTCCCCCATATCGATAATTCTCGATTTCCTTTTTTCTAGAACGCACTGTATAAGTTCTCCTGTTCCCGTGTTCCATATTGCTCCGATTGTCTCATTTTCGCTCGCTGGATCACTGCAGCACAAACATAGCTCGTTCGACGTCACTACCAAACTAGCAAATCAGCTGTCAATGACGTCATATTGAATGCGGCGGCAAATATATTTTTTGAAATTATCGAGAAATTGACTATTTCAAATTGCAAACTAGTTTCATTTTTGGATGGAAACGCAGCCATTGTTATCTTGAAATTCATTGAAGTCATCAGAATAGGGTAAGTTACGTCTCAGATGATTCAAGAGGTCTATTTTTGTAGATAAATTTTCAATTTCTTAGAATGTTCCACTGTATTGCAGGGTACCGGGTGTATGCCATTGGGTGTGATGTGTTCGCGCGCAATGGCGCGAATTATACATTCTTCTTCTTCTTCGCTATAAGTACAGGCCACCGCGCCGTCGGGTGTGAACATTCCTTTCCTTCTCAATACAATAACTTTCACCTGCCTAAGTTATTCAAACCATACGGAATCGTGGCGTCTCGCCACTTCCATTACGTAATCATTAAAAGAATCCGCATATACAACATTTTCCTGCTATACGTTGTATCGCCTGAAAATACAAATCTCCCTGGTATATACCTTACAGTCCAAACGATAAATATGTGCCTTAAACGAAGCAGGCAACAATCGGCGTAGCAGACGACACTTGATAGTAATTTTGTATGTGAGATTGCTTTGCTAAATATAAATTACTTTGTTAATAAATATCAACAAAAATTTCTTAAACATATCTTTAAACCATCATTGATATTTAATAATTCATGAGTGAGTAAAAGAAACATACCAAACTATATAATGATATGAAATACTTGGTGGCAATTAGGGGAGTTTGACGTGATGACCAATTGCACCCCTCTGTTAAAAACCGAATAGTCCATGGTGTGTCATGAATATTCATGTTTTTGCTTACCTCGGCTAAATGTTTGCTTTTACTAAATGGAAAAATTACGGTGGGGGTTGGGTGAAATGGACATAATGAACATAGCAGAAGTGATACTGGATAATTCATGCTTCCTATACTTCGTGTGCTTGACCTATAATCTTACAATCGCTTGGCAGACTGAATCCAAAGTTCGACTTGTTTCACATGTGTATTATAGGCAATGGCGAGCTTGCAACCTATTTTGAAAAATTACGGTGGGTGAACTTTCAAAAGTCAATGAGACATGAGGGATCCAATGAAAGAGCAAGTGATAACGTACGTCGGGGTGGATGTGCTTTTCGTTTAAACAAAAAATGAATTTTTAACGATTTTTTTTTAAAAACGTCCATAGGCTAACATGTTAGGCTGCTGACTCTGACGATAGGGGGCGTTGTGAAATGAGACTAAACGGAGCAATATGTTAGCATTCGTTTTAACGTTTTCAAGATTTGAATTTGAAGTTTGAACATTTACTGAGTTGAAATTGAAGGTGCATGAAATAATTTGCTACTAGACCTCTATATGAATTCCTCCTTGAGACAAAGTCAAAGAGGTAGGTCAAATTTATAACAAAGTATGTTGATCTAGTGCAGTCCTAGATCTAGATCTACTAAATCAAAATTATTTTATCTAAATTATAATTTGAGTAAGGAAATCCATTGGAATTTAAAAACTTTTAGGGTGCTGCACGCCTCTGTCTAAAAAAATGCCACGTGTCATTCGTTATGACTGCTGATTGTTCTAAAGGCTGGGATTTTTAAAATAAGTTGTTTGAAATCTCGAAATGAAATATAAAAACTCAAAACAGTTCATGAAAGAGGATGGCAACGGATAAAGGTACTTGCGCTGTACAGCGAATGTACACTCTTCAAATTGACCGCGATCGGCTGTCTGGCTTTGCTTACATGTTCCATCCAGTTCCGTCTGGTTTAGTTAATGTTATGTAGATTTGTCATTGTTACATATCGCGCGTAAACGTGCATATTAATTTTGTGCGCGTGTTTCAACCAATCACGCTACACCAGCAATTGGGGCTTCGCTTTGATTTTTCTATGTGGAAATCAGAGGGATTATTTTCATCAGTACACACAGGTCGTTACTGTGTTTTTGTTTAACATTACCATTTGAGTAAAATACGTGGATGACATCATTAAAGTTGATATTCTAAGACAATCCCAAATATTGGGATTATTACATTATTCAATAGAAAGCTTTTAACCCCCATAATAACACTAAATGGTGTCCAACTGACAAAAACAAGTTTAGAATGGTGAATTTATGCGAGTAAACTCTACCAAACTATCTAGTCTGAAACCCGAAAGTGCATGTAGAGTCGAGCCTCTATTCGTGACGTCACGAACGGGACTCATGGGCTCAGTGAGAGTGAATGGCAGTGATATCCCTACGTAAATGCTATCCTGTCAGAGCTTAGATTTGTTGTTGTTAATGAGTATATTTGATCGATTTTCTGTTTTCATTTGAATGAAGAATAACGAAGCAACATTTTCCAGTCGCTGATTTCTTTTTATATCCTCATATTCACCTATGTGGTAAAGATTTAAGACGAGTTTACTGCTTGGGAAACAAGGTTAAATCATGCTCGTACGAATAGACGGATGCATTATCTTGTCACCAGATAAGGTACAGCTAGGAGCAATTTTGTAAAAGCGAATAGGCCTAGAACTATAGTACTTATCATCAGGGGCGGCGATTTCTTTTCATGATCGGGGGGGGGGGGGGGGGGGACGAAATGCGAGGAACGAAAGAGCAGTGGCGTATTGAGCAAAAACGTTTGGGGGGAGGGCAGAAAAAAATCTGCATCACCACCACTCTAAAATGTTACGCAGGCCCTGGAAACGTTTTTTCAAAGTGGCAGGGGGGGAACTAAAGTATTAACGATCAGGAAGAACAAAGCAAAACAAATTGGAGCGTAAATTGGCGTGGGGTCCAGGGGCAAAGCCCCGGCGGTTTCAAGGGGCGGAGCCTCATAAAGCTCAGGGGTTTGGGGCATTTAATTATTATTTGTAACACTGGCTGCAGGTCACTTATTGGAGTGGGGTCCAGGGGGCGGAGCCCCAGAAGCTCAGGGGTTTTAGGCATTAAATTACGACCAGGTGAGCAACCAGGGGCCCGCCTTAGGGCACATAGTGGGGTCCAGGGGTCAGAGCCCCCGGAAGGTCAGGGAAAAATCATGCCATTTCAACAACATTTGTAAATCACTGGAATCGAATTAGAAATAAACCACGTTTAAAATTGAGGGGAACTGCCCCAACCCCCCCCCCCCCCCCACACTATTAGTACGATGCGAGGGAGCATAGAGAATGAGAGGGACGAAAGTGACGGAAGTGACTACCCACTAGGTTTTTGAAGTTTTGTTGTATAACAAAGTTACATTCCATAGCAAATGAAAATATTTGTGTGTTGTGTGTGTATTGGCTATTCGTGTTTGCAATTGCTGCCTATTTCCACGTTTGCAGCACTAGAGGTCAATACGCATGCTGGAGTGGTCTAGACTAGGTCGACGAATCGAACGCCTTCAAGTTACACGGAATGAAAGGCCGCCGAAGGCGGCCCTTTCGCGAATATATATAGACTATATAATATAACAGATATTGCCTGTTGAATCACTGTAATTAATAACATTTCATTTCCCCTCCAAAGCAACATTTTTCCTTCGGGACAATATTTTCCCTCAGCGCTGTGCCCTTCGAGAAAATACAGTATAATTCCTTGGGAAAAATGTAACTCTGTCGGGGAAGTAAAATTGTATATCAAACCTCTAGGCAGGCAATATCTGTATAATATTGTATAAGCTGGTCCAATATAATTTTTGATCATATTTATCTCATGGTGTATAAAAACAACAACATTATCAAATAATCCATACTATGATAATTAAGGGATAGCTGAGTTTTGGTAAAGAGGGCGCTAGTCAGACAAAATATTTTGTTTGGTGAGATAATGAATAATGCTACACACACGACTAAACCTTTTCCTCCTTTCATGCATTTGTACCCTTCTGTTTTACTACGGTAGACTAACTGAATAGGAACATCTAGTAGAATTGTCATCTATTTTATGCAAGATTTTAAAAAGAACCTACCACATATCTGACATCGTCTCAACCCGTCTGCAAAACTCGATGAGGTCAACCAAGCCTTCTTCGTCCAAAGACTCCACCCTAGACAGGTGTAGACCCTGCAGATTCTTGGTTTGTTCTCTAATCAGAAAACCCAACCCTCTCATCGTCTCTCTCGATACACTCTTCTTCTCTGATGGGAGTGATGATGGCGGTGCTGTAAGCTCGATGTATGTGAGCTGCTGTCCTCCGGTCCGACGAAGACAAGTCGTGATCTGAGATATGCCTCTCTCTGCATCATCCATGGTGATATTAATTTTTCTCAAGCCAGGGAGCGATGAGTGCAGACCTTCATAGCTTTCTGACGTCATTATTTTAGCTGATAGCTTTGTAACCAATGGAAGCTTAGGGGTAGATGGAGAGAAACTGAGAGAGGATTCTGAGATGGTGAGTTGGTTCACTGAGGTGATGGATCTGAGACAGGACCACATTCTGGCAGTCATCTCTGTAGATAGCCGACATTTCTCTACCTGAAGGACAGATAACGAAATAAAGAGAGACTATCTATTACGCCACGACGATGCTGTTATGCAAAACCGTTTACGCAATCACCCCCTTCCTTCGAGTTAAAGATAAACGGTTGACATTAAATGAATAATGATAATCACAGTATACATTATATCGACCGGTAATGCTAAAACGGGGAAATATAACTCACTTGCGATAAAAAAAGAAAAAATGTCTTCATTTAATCTGATTTAGATCGTATATGATCTAGCCTTGATTGCATTTTGTTAAAATAAATTAATGGCAATTGTTATCTCATACCTTCTTTTTTTTTTCTCTCGAGCCGTCCAGTCTTCGTGTCAAATGTGCGCTGCTTTGATATCGCGTAGGGTTGTTTGGATAGGGTATAATTAAAAACGAGAAATATGCTAATTACAATTCTCGCCGTCGATATCACGTGACAAGTTGTGGTCAAATCTACCTTTGATTTTACTACTCGAAAAAAAAATGCTTTCTTTAATATTAGTAGACTTAAAGTATCAGTTTAAGATATCTGCTTACCTTAACACCCGATTGTCTATCGTATTTGAAACATCCACCATCAAGTGACCTATAATATTTGAAAAAGAGAGTTGGAAACTAATCAAACACAAATAATACATAAAAACAATGGAAATTGTTTAGGGGGATTTATGAAATAACATTGATATCGGATTGGCCTGGGAGTATCGTACGATACACAAATTAAGAAGGTCCCGGTGAGTTGAATATAATACATTATAAAGAGATCATTAAGCCTTTTAACAAATATAGCATGAGAAACAATGGTAGACGTTGTGAGTAGTAAAGCGGGAAATTACGAGTTAAAAGAAAATAACTGCCTAACATCTTTACTCAACCAAATTTGATGAAACAAAAAACGCTTAACACACAAACCTATTTTCCGCCTTTTATAGTTTACAGTTACACTTTCTGCTGAATTTTATTTATTTTAATTTATTCATATACGTATGAACATTTAGCCAAACTCACTGTAAATGCAGACTATCCGATGCTTTCAAATATGTTGACGACTCGACAAGTTCAACCAAGTCTTCTTCGTCCAAGCACTTCACCCCGGTCAGATAAAAACACCGCAGGTTCTTGATTTGTTCTCTGATCAAAAGACCCAATCCTCTCACCGTCTCTCTCGATACACTATTCATCTCTGATGGGAGAGATGACTGTGTTTTAAGTCTGATAGTTGTGAGCTGCTGCCCTGTGGTCCGACGAAGACAAGTCGTGATCTGAGGTATGTCTCTTTCTGCTTCATTGATAGTGATATCGATTTCTCTCAAGCCAGGGAGCGATGAGAGCAGACCTTCGTAGCTTTGTGACGTCACTCTCTCAGCTGATAACTTTGTAACGGATGGAAGCTCAGGAGGAGATGGAGGAAAACTGAGAGAGGAGTCTGAGATGGTGAGATGGTTCAGTAAGGTAAAGGATCTGAGACAGGACCACATCCTGGCAGTTATTTCAGTAGAAATCCGACATTCCTTTACCTGAAGGACGGATAACGAAATACAGAGGGAGTAGATTGTTACGCCACGCTAATACTGCTATGCGAAACCGGGTACATAATGAGATTCCCCCCACCCCTCCCCTTGTATTGCAACTTAACGGTTGACATTAAATGAATAACGATAATTTTAGTATGTATATATTAAATGGTAGTGCACGCAGCGCTATACGGAAATGATATTGTTATCTCGTGCCTTATGTCTTCGTGTCAAATGCGCGCTGATATGACGTTGCTAACAAGTACGCGTAGGATTTTTTGGATAGTGTATAACGCTAAAATAAGCTACATTTGACCATACGTTAAATATAACCATCGACAACAGACCGAAAGAGGAATATGCTTAATATTACAATTCTCGCCTTCGAATTAACGTGTCAAGCTGTGGCCCGTCATACCTTTGTATCTGTAAGAGCTATCTTTCATTTTACTATTTGAAAAATAACTTTAATTGCCGTTCTCCCGTCAGGCACAAAAAGTAAATTGCTTTCCTAAATGTTAGTAGACTTAAAGTGTTAGTTTAAGATATTTGCTTACCTGGACACCTGATTGTCTATCGTATTCGAAACATCCACCATCAAGAGACCTATAGTATTTAAAAAAAGAGAGTTGAAAGCGAGACAAAAACTGCCTAAAAATGTGTGAATGTTTACATTGTCAGTATGGAATGCAAAAAAATAGGAATATAAGAAAAATATAATCATGATACTCCAAGACCCCCTATTCACACACACACACACACACACACAATACCCCACTCCCGCGAGAAGACCTTGAACTTGCTGGGCGGATTAGAGGATTCCAATCGGAAATGTTTGCATTGAATTTTTGATAGTATCTGCATGCCCCCTCCTTTCATTTAACCAATTCCGAATTCGTTTTTAATTTTCGAGCAGTTTGTATTGTGTCTTTATTTTTACTGATCTTGAAGTCGTAACACAATTCAAGACACAAACATATTTACTCAACCAAATTTTATGAAAGAAAAACGCATAATAAACAAACCTATTATTCGCCTTTTTTTTTTTTTTTTCCTATTATTCGCCTTTAATTTGTTATAGTTTACAGTTACACTTTCTGCTTAATTGTATCTACTTTATTTCATTCATATATGTATGAACATCTACCCAGTAGCATACGCAGGATTTTTCCCAGGGGGGGGGGGGGGGGGGGTAAAATTTGAAAATCGCGTCAAAATGTTTGCAACGACTCAGCCAGCCGCTGAATAAGCGGGGGGGGGGGGGATAAGAGCAATTTGTTTTGTTTTGGTCCCGGAAATTAGAAAATTATACCGACCGATATTTCGTTCAGTAGGGAAAGGGTGTAAGTTCATTTTTTTCACCCTTCATTTTTAACACCCCAAAAAAATAACAAAATACAATAAAATATATTAAAAACATTTTGAGAGGGGAGGGGAGGGGGGAGGGGGGTTCCTCCAAAACACACACATACAAAAATGAGGGGGGTTAACCCCACCCCCCCCCCCCCCCCCCCACCCCCTCCCGTCTGCGTACGCGTACGCGCCTGCATCTGCCCAAACTCACTGTAAATGTAGACTATCCGATGCTTTCAAATATGTTAACGACTCAACAAGTTCAACCAAGTCTTCTTCGTCCAAACACTTCACCTCGGCCAGATATAGACACCGCAGGTTCTCAGTTTGTTCTCTAATCAGAAGACCCAATCCTCTCACCGTCTCTCTCGATATACTCTTCTTTTCTGATGGGAGTGATGACGGTGCTTCAAGTCTGATAGTTGTGAGCTGCTGTCCTTCGGTCCGACGAAGACCAGCCGTGATCTGAGGTATGTCTCTCTCTGCATCATCGATAGTGATATCAATATCTCTCAAGCCAGGAAGCGATGCGAGCAGACCTTCGTAGCTTTGTGTCGTCACTCTCTGAGCTGATAATTTAGTAACGGATGGAAGCTCAGGAGGAGATGGAGGAAAACTGAGAGAGGAGTCAGAGATGGTGAGATGGGTCAGTGAGATAAAGGATCTGAGACAGGACCACATTCTGACAGTCATCTCAGTAGATAGCCGACATTTCTCTACCTGAAGGACAGATAACGAGATACAGAGTGAGTAGATTGTTACGCCACTCTAATACTGCTATGCGAAACCGGGTACATAATGAGACCCCCCCCCCCCTCCCCAACCCTCCCCACCCCTCCCCTTGTATTGCAACTTAACGGTTGACATTAAATGAATAACGATAATTATAATATGTATATATTTACTGGTTGGGCGCGCAGCGCTATGCGGAAAATGATAACAAGTGAAATTATAACTCCCTAGCGACAAAAAGTGTATTCATTTAATCCAGTTAGTATAAGAAAAAGCCTTGATTGTACTTCGTTAAAAGAAATTAAGGCCATTGTTATCTCATGCCTTATGTCTTCGTGTCAAATGCGCGCTGATATGACGTTGCTAACAAGTACGCGTAGGATTGTTTGAATAGTGTATAACGCTAAAATAAGCTACATTGACCATAAGGTAAATATAACCATCGACAGCTGACCAGAAGAGGAATATGCTTATTACAATTCTCGCCTTCGAATTAATATGTTAAGCTGTGGCCCCGCCATACCTTTGTATCTGTAAGAGCTATCTTTGATTTTACTATTTGAAAAATAACTTTTATTTCCGTTGTCCCGACGGTCAGGCACAAAAAGTAAATTGCTTTCCTAAATGTTAGTAGTCGAATAGTGTTAGTTTAAGATATACGCTTACCTGGACACCCGATTGTCTATCGTATTCGAAACATCCAACATCAAGAGACCTATGGTATTACAAAAAAGAGAGTTGAAAGCGAGACAAAAACTGCCTAAAAATGTGTAAATGTTTACATTGTCCGTAAGGGATGCAAATAAGTAGGAATATAAAAAAATATATAATAATGATACTCCAAGACCCCCCCCCCCCCTATACACACACACACACACACACACACGCAAGCACACAACACACCACTCCCGCGAGAAGACCTCGAACTTGCTGGGCGGATTAGAGGATTCCAATCAAAAATTATCGCATTGAATTTGTGATAGTACACTGTTGGTCATAATGGTGGAATAATTATTTTTACCCCAATTAATTGAATGATTTTGACAATGATTTATTCCTAATAGATCTAGATAATAGTAAACATTCTTAGATTTTATTGAATGACAATTGGGGAGTGTTTGTTTTGCGTGACTGCTAAAGCATGTGTGTGCTACAATGCTAATCAACTAGGGGACATACGTCCTTAAGTCATAACTGACAGTAATGGGGATTAATGCCTTATAAAAGGGCACTAATATAGCACATCGACACGGTTTTGATCCTAGGTACTCACAGTAATGAGGCCATTGCTTAGCCAATGAATCATGACTGAAAGCAGCGGGCGCTAGGGTACGTCGACGCCCCCACAAAAAAAAAAAAAAATGCAATAATTTTTCAATAATTCATTTCATTTTCATCCAGTCCCCAACAGGAAAAATTCCTTTGTAGAGCCATGCATTATGGATCAAGGCATGTCCACATAGAAGATTTGTTTTTGTTGGGGGTCGGGGCAAAATGCAATGAATTTGAAAATCGCGCCAATTTTTGTTACAACGACTCAGCCAGCCACTTAATAAGCGGGGGGGGGGGGGGAATAAGAGCATTTTTTTATATTTTATTTTTTATTTTTTGTCCCGGAAATTAGAAAATCGTACCGACCGATATTTCGTTCAATAGGGAAAGGGTGTAAGGTCACTTTTCACCCTTTATTTTGAACACACACACACACACACACACACAAAAAAAAAATTGAGGGGGGGGGTTTTTTCCTCCAAAACACACACATTAAAACTAAATGAGGGGGGAATTAACCCCAACCACACCCCCTCCAACCCCACCCCCCCCCCCCCCCCCCGTCTGCGTACGCGCCTGCATCTACCCAAACTCACTGTAAATGTAGACTATCCGATGCTTTCAAATATGTTGACGACTCGACAAGTTCAACCAAGTCTTCTTCGTCCAAACACTTCACCTCGGCCAGATATAGACACCGCAGGTTCTCAGTTTGTTCTCTAATCAGAAGACCCAATCCTCTCACCGTTTCTCTCGATATACTCTTCTTTTCTGATGGGAGTGATGACGGTGCTTCAAGTCTGATAGTTGTGAGCTGCTGTCCTTCGGTCTGACGAAGACCAGCCGTGATCTGAGGTATGTCTTTCTCTGCATCATCGATAGTGATATCAATATCTCTCAAGCCAGGAAGCGATGCGAACAGACCTTCGTAGCTTTGTGACGTCACTCTCTCAGCTGATAACTTTGTTACGAATGGAAGCTCAGGAGGAGATGGAGGAAAACTGAGAGAGGAGTCAGAGATGGTGAGATGGTTCAGTGAGATGAAGGCTCCGAGACAGGACCACAATTTGATGGTCATCTCGGTAGATAGCTGGCAGTCCTTGATGTTCCACATTTGAATCTATGATGACATTTAGAAAGAAGAAGTTTTCATTGTTACAACATAAAACAAATAAAAACTGTTAAGATATTGATTGTTTGGAGAAGAAAGGTGAATAAAGAAACATAAACAAATACTGCCTTCTTATTAATGGAACTCAACCTGATATACCAATTGACACACGCTTCGGACTATCTTAATTAAGTTCATATCGGCTGCAATTTACTATCAGATTTGTTGCACCGATATCATAATTTTGTGGTAGAAAATAGGCAAAATGATATTTTTGAATGCTTTTTATTCAACTGTTCTTTGTTCGTTCCCACAACTATATTAGACTTAGCATATAATTGTGTTATGCTACGGGGCGTAGAGCAAACAAGGTATGTTTTAGTTTTTCCTTAGGCCCCGTAAAATCCCCATTTCCAATTTATAATTTAGTTTACAAATAACAATAACTACAAGCAGACCGAAGTCATTGAATACATGTTATATGCTTATGTTCTTTGCAAATTCCTGTGTACTGCTAGTATATAGTTTTATTTCTGGCATGAACAAAATTATATAATGTGTTACGTAAGATATTATTTATTATGAATTTAAAATATTATCCAAACTATCAGTTGAAAAAAAGTGCAGGAGACCGCAATCATAAGCGAAGCTTGACTAGGATGGCGGCCTCAAAAAGAAAGAAATAATCTTAAGGTAAAACTTAAAATGAAAAAGTGTTTAAACGTTCTTTATGAATAAAGACTAAACTGAACTGAAGCCATTGCATATTTTCAAAGAATTAATATTTCTGATACTTGAAAGGTATCGTTTAACAATATTACATCTGATATACAAGGCCCTACGTTTTATCAGTGTCTGTGATATGGTGTAATATTGAAGCCCTAAAAATTAGAGCTTAAAATGATCAAGAAGTGCCTCAAAAAGTTTTTAAAATTGTTGAGTGATCGGTTTTCCCATACTCGTTTTCCCCAATAGACTGTAGTGTTATGAAAACCGTTTGGAAAACGCAAAATTTGGTTTCGAGTTCCAATCATAAATATCTTGATAATCAGACAGGCGATCGGCTTGTAAAAGTCATGGGGTTCCTGACTGACCTAAAAGTTTATAATTATCATTGCAGCATGAGCTAAATCCGGGATTTTGTTTCAGAATCTGAGACATAGTTACCGGATCCCTTTACTTGCCTATTCGGTAGGAAGTGCAAATTGCTTTCTTAAAAATTAAAAATAACGAGGCGTACGGTCATAAACAATTAGAGCATACTTACATGCAATGCATCTTGATTGGAGTTTAGTGACCAGAAAAACCTACATCATTTCAAAGACAGATGAAGAATTAAGGATAGCATGTAACGACGTTAAACGTTTGTGAATAACAAATTACGACTAATATGTTTAAAATAGAAGACACATCAACATATTAATTATGGCTCATCGTACGTTTGACCTAAAATAATCTTACAGCGAATATTGTATGATACCAATATTTTCCAGTCAAAATGTTGAAATATTTCGATCTGACAAATAATAATGTGAAAGCCACATATGGGAAATGTGAGCTACACAACTAATATTTTGTTCTTCAAAATTCAAAAAAAAATTCTCTAAGGCTAAATCCAATAATGATCACATGGTTACATTGTTATATTTCCTGTTTAAGAATCTCTACTAAAATGTTGAGAGGATATATAAATATAAATGTGTTATATGACTTTGTCGAAACAAAAACTTCCATGAATATTTTTCGCAAGTTAAATCGACTTCAGGTTGATACTTTGGTATTTTACATGATTAAAGGACTGGTTTAACGCATCAGCCTAACGAAAGGAAAACAAATGCACGGTGATGCCCATACCAATAACAATTTTGGAGAACATGGGAGGGAATAAAATTTCTTGGCTTAACAGTTACTCACTGTTCTACATACAGGCTAGCTGACATTAAACGCGTTGAAGACTGGACAAGATCGATCACTGTTTCCTTGGGTCCGAAAACTACTCCGGACAATATCGCCTGACATTCTGTGATGAGAAAACCCAGTCCTCTTATCCTCTTTTGGGGCATGCTTGATACATTCCCATCTGATAGGAAGGAATGGGGGTCGATGCATGTGAGATCCTGTCCCGTCATATGTCGATGTAGACTAGTCTGGATCTGAGATATGTCTTCTGTATTTGCATCTCCGATAGTGATATCGACCTGTTCCAAGCCACGGAGCGATGAGAGCAGACCTTCATAGCTTTGTGACGTCACTCTCTGCGCTGAAAGCTTTGTGACGGATGGAAGGTCTGGAGGAGATGGAGGGAAACTGAGAGAGGAGTCCGAAATGCTGAGCTGGTTCAGTGAGGTGAAGGATCTGAGGTACGACCACAACTTCTCGGTCATCTCAGTAGATAGCTGGCACTGCTGTATCTTAAGCCTAGTATTCTACAATGAAATGCACACATAAATATTGATACTTAATGTGGGCAGATATAATTCAACAACAGTGAAGTTGAAAATGTAATGACTATTGAACCATCTAAATTCACAATGCGATAATTGATTGTATTCTTTCAAAAACAAACAAACAATTTTACTTTGTTTCAATTGTCTTAGTTTAGTGCAAAGAACATCCCTTTCTCGAATTTTTCAAAGCGAAATGCATGCACCCGTTTTACAAAATTCTACTAACCTGGATGGCGTCTGTGTCGCTAAGAGAACCAAATCCACTCCTACATAGAATATTAATCACAAGAACGAGGGAAAGAATATGATTCAATCGATTATTGAGACATTATTTCACATTAATAAAGAATAAAAGAGGCAATAAAGATCATTATAAAAACAACAATACTAACAATAACAATTATGATAATAATCTTCTTATAAAAGTGATAGTAATAGCAATGATAAAACGAACATCAATAATTATAAATGTTAATATAATAGTTTGTGTTTCATGTCATTTTAAAAAGCAACATGAATACAAATATCTGTACACGAATTAAGATCTAGGTCTACGTACCCCGAATTCAAGGACGTTAGTTGTTTAGTCTTGACAAACAGGTCAACCAAGGCTTCTTCGTCCCTGCCTTTCATCCCTGACACATGCAGCCGCTGTTGGTCTTTGGTTTGATCTCGAAATAGAAGACTAATAAGCCCTCCAATTGACTCGCCAGAATCAATATTCATGTCTGTGGTGAGTGCTGGCCAGGCGTGCAGTCTGATATGAACGTAGGACTGGTCATCTGTAATCCCGGTCTGACCAATAGGTCTGGAGGTCGACGCGGTGGTGATCTGAAAGATGTTGCTCGTCTCTGCAACCCCGATAGAGACATCGATATCTTTCACACCAGGTACCGATGAGAGCACTCCTTCGAAGCTTTGTGACGTCACTCTCTCGGCTGAAAGCTTTGTGACTGATAGAAGCTCCGGATGAGATGGATGGAAACTGAGAGAGGAATCTGAGATGCTGAGCTGTGTCAGTGAGGTGAAGGATCTGAGACAGGACCACAACTTATCAGTCATCTCAGTAGATAGCTGGCAATCCTTGATTTTCAATGTGTCAATCTATGATGACATACAAAAAGAACAGGACGTCAGGAGAGGAAAGGAGGAAAAAGAAACAGCATTGACAAAAACTTCCTAGAATCTTACAGATCATTTGAACTCATCGATTGACTTGCGCTAAAGAACTTACATAATTTTCAATCTTAATTCCTTTCGAAGCTACAATTTTCTATCTAAGTCGTTTGGCACATTTTTTTTAATTTAGATTTTCAATATACAATAGTATAATATACGCTGTAATAGCGAAATGATGCCTACTGTATACATTTTACAACTGTATTTAGTTCCTTTCCACAACTTTGTTAGAATTATAATTGTAAATGCTACATGGCGTTTATCCAACATGCTATACTTTTACTTTAGGCCCCTCATTATTCCTATTTCCCATACCCAATTTCTAATTAATTCTTAATTAACAAATAACTACAAGCGAACCAAAGTCATTGAACAAATTTAATGTACTAATGTGTATTGCAAATTAAATGTGTATCGTCAATATAATTATATTTCTAGCATAACGAAATCTGACAATGTATATTGTAAAGGGTAGTATATGAATACGCACCAAACTGAAATAAATTCATTGTTTCAAAGAAATACTATTTCTGATACTCCAATTCCTATTCAGTAGGGAGTGTAAAATGCTTTCTGAAATATTAACAAACGGATGAGGCGTATGGACATGTAAAATTAGAGCGTACTTACATTTAATGCTAGTTCATCGGATTTAAGCGTCCTCGAAAACCTTTATAATTTGAAAGAGAAATGAAAAGTGTGAGGAGGCAGGCGCGAAGCCAGGGGGGGGTGGGGCGGGGGGGCGGTCGCCCCTCCCCCCCCCCCCAAAAAAAAAAAAAAAAACGCCGGCCAAATAAATAAAAAAAAAGAGAAAAAAAAGTAAGAGGACATAGGAAGAAAGGGGGAAAAGAGACGAGAACGGTACAACGAATCGTCTTCTTTCTCTAATAATTTAATGAAACGTCAAAACTTTCGCGCTTCGCGCGTAAGGGGGACTGAATACAGATAAGGATTAAGGGTCGAGAAAGGTACAACGAATCGTCTTCTTTTTCTAATGATACGTCAAAGCTTCCGCGCTATGCGCAGGAGGGGCGGACTAAATTCAGACAAGGATTATGAGTCGAGAAAGGCACAACGAATCGTCTTCTTTCGAAGCTTCCGCGCTTCGCGCGGGAGGGGGAAACTCCCCGCTCCCTGCACCTACCCCCCTAGGGAACGCGCTACGTTCGCTCTTTAAGTGAATCGCACGCTTCGCGTGCTCATTGGAGCCTCCCCAAAAATGAAATCCTGGCTACGCGCTTGTGAGGGGGGGGGGGGGAACAAGTAGCCAATTAATAAATATGTAAATAACATTACATAATTGAACCGATTTACACTTTTCCGAAGTCAACTGACTTTCTTCTAAGGCTAAACATCATTATTTGTTTATCTTTCTGAGAGCATTTTTATATTATCTGCTTTGAAATATTCTTCAAGACGTTGAGAATACTGTGTATTCATTAGTGATGATATTTTGTTTAGCCTTACGACTGAGCGCCGGTTCTTTTTATCGTCGTATTGAAAAAAGAGAAGAGAAAAACATGACCTTTGTCTTAACATAACACCAGTATCATTGTTGATACTCAAGGACTCTTTTATCCAAGTTTAATTGGCTTCAGGTGGATATTTTGGTAATTAATGGACTGGTTTAACACATCAAATTAGCCGATGAAATAAAAGGCCCATATCAATGCCAAATGAGGATACTAGGGAGGGGGGGGGGGGGGTTGTGATGAAAAACCTTCAATAAATTTGACTTGACATAACATATACTCACTGTTCAAAATACAGACTAGATGACATTAAACGCGTTGAAGACTGGACAACATCGATCAGTGCACCCTCGAGTCCGAAAGCAACTCCGGACAATGTCGCCTGACATTCTGTGATAAGAAAACCCAGTCCTGTCATCTTCTGTCTTGACATGCTTAATACATTCCCCTCTAATGGGAAGGAATGGGGGTCGATGCGTGTGAGATCCTGTCCCGTCAGATGTCGACGTAGACTAGTCTGGATCTGAGATATGTTTTCCGTCTTTTCATCTCCGATAGTGATATCGACCCTTTTCAAGCCAGGAAGCGATGAGAGGAGACCTTCATAGCTTTGTGACGTCACTCTTTCGGCTGAAAGCTCTGTGATGGATGGAAGCTCAGGGGGAGATGGAGGGAAACTGAGAGAGGAGTCAGAGATGCTGAGCTGGATCAGTGAAGTAAAAGATCTGAGGCAGGACCATAGTCCACTCGTCACGTCGATACTTAGAGTAGAGCCCTCGAACTTTAGTGTCGTAACCTAGTGTTAAGATAGAGAAAGAGATATACAGAGGAGGGAGGAGAGAGAGAATGAAAGAATTTGGGAGTAAAATAGCATTAATTCGTTAATGGAGATAAGGCAATCGAGATTGTAGTCTGATTTTATTTAAGAATATTAAAGAGAAGGTTCATTGATTTTGAATTTGACTGAATTTGGTATCATTGCATTCAAAAACTTACACTGAGTAAGAATATCACATTTGTTTAACTTGTAATTCGAGCGAAATTTATAAAAGTTGATTAAACTTTACGAAATAACTCAAGACCCCGAAAACGATCGTAATACAGCTGAATTTTCAGTGGCGTCACCGAATGAACAAAGAATACGAGGGACCTGATGCGTGATCGTCAACGAAACGGAGTTCAGTCTTTTGTCAACTATGTTTATCGCTACGGCAGGCAGCCAGTGAAAACGAATTCGTTTAATCAAATTACTTTAAACAAATATAACTTTGTTATTCCTGGCTCATTTTTCCTGATTGAGGTGTCGTACGAAAGGGCAAAAAATGAACTTTCTAGAAATGTGATTTTCTTATTGAAATTCAGATACCGCCCGCCAAAGGACTTTTTGGTTTCCTCTCTTCAAATTGTTGTAATCATTCATGCGTGAAATATGCAGCATATAGGTTGCATTAGATGAAAGGGGAGGATCTAAGCTTTACAAATACGTGTCATTTATTAATCATAACTGTGATTAAGTCATGATAAAGCATATTATGAGAACTCTCGGTTTCGTTTTTTTCTCGGACGCACTGTATAGCTGATGATGTCCAATGATTGAACGATATTCGTCCGCGAGTGGACTGATGCGGCTCTTATCTGATGCTCCTATCTATAAATTGTTTTGTTTTCCTAACCTAGCCATCCTAGCGCTGCATATTGATATTTGGATATGTGCGCTGGTACGATGTGGTGGAGATCGCAAAATAAATCTGCTGGATTCTGGACTAACCAGTATGTCGCAATGATTATGGACAAGTTACGACATTGGCAGTCATTGGTTTACGGGATAAGCCTCCCGATGTTCTCGCAATGTCATTTATTTTAAGTAAACATAGCTGTGCACTTGTAATTTGTGTATGAAATATCATTATTTGATAAATTATCGAATCAGATTCTGTGTGCGTGCGTATCATGAATATTTATGACTAGCGCATGACGTATTAGTTCCTATTGAGCCAATCAAATGCAGCGGTAGAATGGCTAGGTAAGGGAATACAAAGAACCGGCCAGATTCAGGACTACTCTTGCACGAACGTTCGTGAAGTGAGAGGAATCTGCAGGTAAGACCAGGCTTGTGGTCGAGCATTATTTGGAGCAGTATAAGTCCCCATCAAACCAAAACTAGTTCACACTACGTTTTTAAACCGTCCTAGAAAATCTTTTTAAAAGGGTTATGGTCAGGGAGGAATGTGTAAATAATTGTCCGATCCTAGATCGTTCATAAACAGTCCTCAATACGCCCATCTCGTTTGTACCCCGTCCACAGCCAGTTAGTATCAAGCTCATATCGGGTAAATTGGCCATTGCTAGGTAGCCCAAGCCCGTCTGTATTCAGTTTAAACCAGTTCTTTACTAGTTCTACCTCGTTACCAATACGTCCAAATCATTCAAACTAGTTCGCAACTTGTTCTTACTAGTTTTTAACCTGACCACTCCGTTCAGGGACAGTTCATCTCGTCCCCGTCTCGTTCTTAGTGCTCCCGAACGCGCCCCTATAGGCTCGGGGCTATACAAACCCAGCGCGTTCCTGCCATTCCTCATTTCCGTTCAATTATATTACTGCTAATTGATGCTCGACCACGTCATGTTGTAATACGTAGTAGGACCAAAGTACGGCAATTCCGTTCGTAGTACATCCATCTCGTTTTAAGTACATTTTCACTCCGTCTTATTGTAGGACGGGGGAAATTTTGAACAGGCTCAAAGTTCTAGAGCACCCTTCCCATCCAAGCCAGTCCGAGGCCGTCCATAAAGTGCTTAAACAGATCGTAAATAGTTGCTACTTTGTTCATTCCGTCCGCACACGGTTTGAGCGCGTTTGACAACATTTTACCGAACGTAGTGAAAACTAGTTTGGTGTGATGGGGGCTTCACTTGAATGTCTTGATCAGCACACCTTGAATCGTTGAAGTTGAACGGAAATAAGGAATGGAAAAAATGCGCTCGGGTTTTATGACCCTTGAGCCAGGACGTGACTGCACACCCTAGAAGCGCGTTAGAACGCACTGAGAACGAGATGAGAACGAGCCGAACTGTCTCTAAACTAGTTAGAATGGGTTCGTTCGTTTTGAAACGAGGTATAACTAGTTGATTTGGACTTGGTTGGCTTGGACTGCCTGGAATGGCAAATTTACCCGATCTGAACTTGATATGAACTGACTGTGGACGGGGTACAGACGAGATGGACTGTTTATGAACAAACTAGTATCATATTTTAGTCATTTTTACACATTCTACCCCAACCACAACCCGTTAAACTATTTTCTAGGACGGTTCCAGAACGAAGTGAGAACTAGTTTGGTGTGATGGGGGCTTTAAGTAACTCTTTTCCTCATATTTATTTACATTTTATGAGTAATTTATTAATACATTTATTTTGTCCATGCCTTTGATTATAGATAATGAATGATTTTTAAAAAGATGCTTCTTCGACTTATGAATATGGCAAAGAAATGAAAATTAAAACAAGATTTCTGAAATGATCAGTGTTAAAATGCTTATCAAATGAAAATGCGCATACCTCACGCTTCAGTTGCTTCGGAAGATTTTGCATCCCAACGACAGTGTACACGGTCGGTGACTTTAGAACAATACTCTGCGCATTCACGCATCTTTGAACCAATGATAACACATTTCCTTCAGTACCGCTGGTCTCTGATGAGCAGTCAAGGAGAATTCGATATCGCTCACTCTCATCCAAAAATCTGTTGGAATGGAGCACCTCCATTATTCGTATACAAAGTTTATTATCCGTGCCGGCAGCGAATCGGATGAGATTCTCATAGTCACCGATGTTTGCTTTGATTTTCTGTAGAAGTCTGTCCAACTTTGAAATCTTCAGTCGTAACATATATTTCTTTGTTTTAGCAGCGAGATATTTCCCAGCTGAGTGTTCCTGAGCGAGTTTGTGATAAAACTCAATGTTATTGAAAGTTGTCTCGTTGGGCTGAGGAAGGCCTGTGACCGAAACAGTTGTCTTGGATACTATACCAAGCTCACATGCCCTATCAAGGATTGCGGGAGCTCTACGGAAATCATGATGCGAGAAGACTAGTTTCTTAGCATCGTCGAGCAGACCAGTAAGGGCAACTTTGCCTAATTGAGATATTATCTCCCTTAACTCATCGGGTGTGATTTTTACTCTAGACTTTGATCGGGTGTTTGCATGGTGCGCTAAGAAAACATTCACGCTGTCCAGTAATTCTGTTTGAGTAGTAGTATCACTGTCCAGTAGGCACTCACTCCATAAGTGACACACCATTAGACAAAATAACGGTGTTTTAACAAGTTCATTAATCAGTGGTTGGCCGTCAAGGTAAATCTTCAAATCATGTCCGCTATTATTAGGATTCGAGTTTGAAGCAAAGAATCTGTCGATGTAATCTCGTGAGCTCTCTTGTGAGAATCCTTCTATCCACATCTTTGTGTATACCCTTGGAAGTTCCGCTTGATCAAAGAAGTACTCTAGATGAGGGCGTGTTGTTACAAGGACTCGACACTCTGGAAATTCTTCCAAACGGATGACACGGAAAATGTTACTCTCTGAGATTCGCTGGGAAGAAGAAATACCCGCATATTCATCTAGTCCGTCTAGTATGATGTGGCAGATACCCTGATTCTCTCTAATGAAACTCTCCAGACCCTCTGGTGTGAGATCCTCAACATCACTCAAAAGCTGGGATTTGATGGCTTCTCCGATCGATGTGAGATGACCTGTGTTTCGAAACTTTACAACAAACAGAAGTGGCAGGTGTTCTAATGCTGACCCCTTTTCTTTGTGAACCCAGTCGTAAGCCATCTTAGCAACAGCCGTGGTCTTCCCTCGTCCAGCTGGTGCCGAAATGAGGATTCGAGCTGGAAGTCTTCCGTTTACTTTCGTTGAAAATATTTCAGGAACAGAACCCTGGAGTATTTCCTTCTTTTTCGTGTCTTGTCCGCTAGCGTCCTTCTTCACCATTGTGACAACCGTGTGCATGTCTTCGAACTCAGCATAATCACTTTGATCCCACGGTTTCATTTGAATTTTGCACAATTGATCTCGGTACTTATTCTCTAACTTTTCGCGACATCGCTGAACAGTCAATGATGCCGAGATCTTCTTGCTGTAGATACCTGGAATGATACAAGCATATACAAAACTAAATGTCTTATTATACTCTGATGATCTACTAACCTCTTTCCAAGGTTTTGGAGTAATAATTTTTTTATAATTTTCTTTGAATAACATGAATTATGGTGGTTTGCCTCTTTCAAATAAAGTTAAGGCCTAGAAAGTTTCTAAACTATTTTGTTATGTTTTTTTCTTTGGCGTTGGAACAGTGTCATTCTCTACTCGCTGACTTAAAAATCTAGTTTGATATATTATGTTGTGCCCTCTCATGCATATCTCCTTTCTAATGCATATTTCTTCTTCCCCTCTTCTTTACAACCCCACATGCAGCCCATCCTGTATTATTTTCTGTACCCCCGATCTCTCACTTCGATTTGCATTGTTTACTTATTGTATTATGACCGTGTTCTCCTACCTTTGTCATGTAAAGTGCTCTCTTGTCATTTTCTCGTCTCTGATGGCATCCCCCCTTGGTTTCGTCTTATTTTAGTTCCTTTTTGTAGTTACGAATTCGTAAATCCAATCACTTATTATTCCTTACTATCATTTGAGGGGTCCACAATTGTACAAGCATTGTTTTTAGTGGACCCCTCTGTGTCCTATATGTATTCCTTAATTGTTATAATTGATTGTAGTTTATTTGGAATGTTCTGTTGGAAACAGATATAAAATTGAATTTAATTAAGTTAAATTGGATTTGTTATGCACTTAACTCTGCTGTTTTCTTTAATTAGACTGTATAGATCAGTCAGGAAACTTTCTCTCCAAATCGATACTGAAAATCTTGAGTATAATATGTTCTCCTTTTTATTGAAGAACTTTTTCAAACAGAAATTTGAGGGAGAAAGAGACACGGGGTAAAGGAAGATGAAAGGATATTGACCTGGAACGATTAAATTGAACCTAATATAATGTACATTTCCTGATACAAACTATTAATAAGGGACTAAAATATCCCTTCATAACCTGTAATAAAAATGTGAATTGGAATCAAAATGTGTTTATTGTACAAAGTGGATTCACTTGATTTGTTCTTCTGCCGGTATTTAATTATTGCAATTGAACTCCGACTGGGTATGTGATACCTGTTTATTACGTCAATTGCCATTTTATAACACAGATGATGATGGTGAGAGTGATTTTGCAATCAATAGACCTCTATTTTTTCTGGGGAAGCAAGATGATTCTGATATTGATAACGAATTATTTAAATCTTTGGATCAATTCAATGGCTTAAAAATAGCTCACTTAAATGTTTGTTCTTTATTAAAAAATATTGAAAAAATACGAAGTATTAAAGTGGGAAATAATGTTCATGTTGTGACGTTTTGTGAGACTAGACTCGATGATACTACATGTATCACGAATGGAGAGATATCTGTGGCAGGTTATCGTACTTTGTGGTGGTGGTTATTTTACCTGACTACTAAGAAAGCATAGACGGCTTTAGAACCTCTCCGAGGGACCTGGTAATGAGGATTAATGCCTTACTAAAGGGCACTAGCGCATCGCCTTGGTTTCGAACCCGGGTCATCGGATTACGAGACCACTACTCTACCGACTAAGCTATCGCGCCTCCTCCTCTTTTTGAGAAGAGACAGAAACAGATCTGGAGGAGGAGTAATTGTAAACTTTCAATAATCTGTTTATGATACAGTTCTTCTTAAGCTACAATCAAATTCTCTTGAATCGCTATGTATTCAAGTTAATATATCTCATCAAAACCCTTTATTAAAATACTTATTCCATGCATATAGTATAGGCCCCTCGATTCAAGTATTCTTGTTTTTTGATTTGCTTGAAATTGTCTTTAAAAATGTGGAAGCCACATCCTTGGACTATCTGTTGATTGGTGACATAAACTGTGACTTTTTACAGAATAACCCCACTTGTCATACTAAACGATTGTTACAAATTGCTCGTGGGTATAATTTTCATCAACATGTTAAAACACCAACACGCGTTACCCAGTCTACGAGTAGTACTTTAAATGATCGTTCATTTTCCTTAAATAACACTTTGAAAAGGTTAGGCAATATTTTCCAACACTTTGCCCAACGTTGTGCCAAAAGTCAACCCAACCCTATATTGGGCAATATTTTGCCCAGGGGTATTGGTAAACGTAAATAGCCTACTTCAAACGTACAGGATTGTTTCGTATTTTGACCAAACTTTGGGCAAAGATATGACCCTCCAACTGCCCGACTACTATGTTGGAAAAATCTTGACCGGTTAAAAAAAAAGGAGATATAATGCCAGTTAAACTGGCATTATATTCCTGTTTTTTAAATATGTATTGTTTTCTTATTTACATTTACTTATTTTAATATTATGTATTTGTTATTGTTTAAATATGTGTTCAGTTTGTTTATTCATATGTATTTTTAATGTACCATGTACGGACATGCTGAAAAACAGCTATGCTAAGCTGAAAGTGTGTTTTCTTAATCACTGTATTTAAATAAATAAACAAACAAATAAATAAACAAATAAATTAGGACGTTAGTATGTTAGACGTAAATAATCATATTTGATTGATACACGTCTGTAAAACCCCAATTACACACACTCTACCACTAGAATACCCACCTGGATTACTTGGTGTCCCCTTGAGATATGTATCCGCAAGCATTACTAGCTTAGAGTCAATGAGAGCTTGTTTCAGCCTGGGATGCTGGTTGCAAGGCTTCACATTCTGTCTCCAGTCAAACAGCATATCACGTGTTCCCTTACAAGTCACCCGTCCTTCTATCCTGTTGGTTTCTGTGTATCTATTGATTTCTGCGACCTTGAATCCGAGTGTTCGTCCTAAGGCCTCCATCTGCTCACCCGTCTCGATATCCTCAGCCAGCTTGCAGATAAGGTCATTGGCGATACCTTCATGAGCCGCCATACCTATGGGGAACATACACAAAAGAAAAATAAGATTAATAAACTGATTATGAACATATACGCCCGGATTCAAAAAGGAGGTTTGTAGACAAACCTAGGTTTATTGCGTCGTGTGACGCGTTTTGAAGCGTTTCAGACCAAGGTTTGTCTGAACCTTAGTCTGAAACGCATCGAAACGCATCAAATGACGCATATAAACCTAGGTTTGTCGACAAACCTCCTTTGTGAATCCGGGCCATAGCCTCTTTATAGTGGGACAGTAAATCAATTCAGTATTTCAGCAGGTCTGAATTCATCATTGTAAAGTATCAATTATTGTCCTCAGATTGTGTGCTGGTGTAGGATAGAATGTTAGAGTATCTTTGTTGTGCTTAAGCAGAGAAGTAGGATCTTGTATAGGTAATTTGAAAACCTATTTACAAAGAAGTATAATAACAAAGAAAAGAAGAAAACCGGAGAAAACAAGACATTTCAAGAATACGGTCGAGGCAATAGCCTATGAACCTAGTTTTTGCCTGGCAATGCCGGATAAATTGTTGTGATACATTGCTAGAGGCAGTGCTCCGTGAGGGGGTGTACTGCCCCCACCTTTTCAAGTACCTGAAATCATCCTTGCTACGAAAGACCCCTTTTATTTGTGATGAGTGCCCCCTTTTACTTTGTCAAGTGACCCATTGCATTTGTAATAATTGTCCCTTCCGACATGTGATTGGTGCCCCTTTTCATTACTAGTAAGTGCCCCTTACCCTTTTTATAAGTGGCCATTTCTACCCTGATGAGTGCCCCTATTCTAGAGTGATAATTGACGCTTTCCGTGTCCAATAAGTGCACTATTTACTTTTAAAAAATCCCCACATCTTCTTATACCTGTACGCAGTGGCGGATCCAGGGGGGGGGGGGGGCCCGGGGGGCCCGGCCCCCCCCCCCTTGAGAAAAAAATCATGTAAAATCACGTGATTTTTACGATTTTGGGGGGTGCAAATTGAATTTTTTTTTGAGGATCAAAAAAAAAAGTGCTCACTACCTTCTATTTTGATGAATTTCAAATAGCGCCTACGGCCGTACAATGGTAGCTGCGACCATGAAAATCTCAGAATATGTGTGTGTGATATATAATTTCCAAACGAGAATAGCTAATCGGTCGATTATAGTCAAGAAACATTGTTTTATAGCTTAATTAATATCTTGACCTCGAGAGGGAGCTATACAACAAAAAGAGTTAATTATTTACAATTTCATAACTTTAGACTCGATTTCAACCGCGACAACGATCACTGATTATTGTATGATCGCATAAGCTTCCAATATGTTCATTTGAACCAAATTCATGACCCCATACCGAAACTTTTTATTACCTTTAATAGCTGAGGTCAGCGTGAGAGAATCCTAGGGTAGACATAATCACAATTAGTTCCCAGCCATGTTGTTTTGCCACGATCCTCAACCTAAACAAATTATTTCCCATAACCCCGGCACATGTCCTTCTAATTCAAAGCAACTGAGGACTTTTTTTTCGACTTTCCCTGAAGCTATATGCCTCGCTACGCTCACTCGCAATTGATTTAAGTGATATAACCTCAAAGGTATAGACCAAATTTGGAACGCCCCCCTTTCAAAAAATTAAGTGGAAGCTCTTATTACCAATCATGTGAAAGAATATGTTTTGACTAATATGTGATGATACAATTTTGCCGGGAAACCACCCACTAATTGATATATTTGGTAAATTATCATATCGATCCGACCTGGATAGATATCGCGAATGCACTTCAACATTATTGAACGTATAGTTTGCACCCACAACCCTTGAACCACAATTTTCCCACTACCGGTCTTTACTTTTAAAGCTAATATTCCTTCTGTCATGAGATGTTGTTCAAACCCCATTGATATCTATCTAATAAGATTCAATCGCAAATGAATGTTCAAACCATAATAGACAAATGCAAAGCATGATAAGACAATCATAAAGATGATCCTTTTTACAATATATTGATTAAAATATAGGGTTACGTCAACTATATTTTCCACTGTTGGATTACTCTATTTGTTGCATGGTGTTTATAAGAGCGCAACAGTGCAGACAGGCAGAGCAGGCACCCAAAGTGTAGAGTAAAGTTCATCTTTTACTCGTTACGCTTATCCAGAAGAAAGTAATAAGGAGCACACCAAACGCAAATAATAAATTACAATATATGGCAATATATCACAATCTTACCTGGGCTAGTCTGCAATGGAGTCTTCTCGTGGTCATGTGAGTCCTGCTGGTTGGGTATATATTTACCTGTATGGGATGTACAATGTATTATCAGGTGGGCTGTATAACGTACAGACCACCTTATAATTTCGTTAGAATTGCCTTTATTTATTATTTATTATTTATTATATATTTTTCTTATTTCTAACCACTTTTTTGTTGGCAAGATAACTTGGAAATGGCTCAATCAAATAATTTGAAATTTGGCACACATATGTATAGGCATATGTACAAAGCACAATAACGTTTTCAACATTGACCTTCACTGATGACGTCATCTAGGCGCCATTTTGTAAAATTTTACGAAAATCAAATCCTGATCATATCTTCATAACCAAAAGGTATTTCTGATTCATATTTATCATGATCAGGGTCAATATCCGTCCGGTCAATTTCAGGTCAAATAACGCGCGCGTGCGCGTACGTCCGCGCGTCAATGCGCGCGCAAAATTTTGAAATGCTCAAAATCGTCTCAAAATCATTTTGCATACGTTTTAGGCCATTCTAAGCATTTTTTTAAAAATCGCGCACACGCGCATGCGCGCGCGTTTTCGCGCGTAAAACTATTAGACACCATAGAATCGCCATTTTTTTTCTTTCATAATATTCCACATATTTTTACAAACAAATTGATACCATGTTTGTCTCTTTATGACTATAAATAATTGAATAATCGACCGTTTAACATAAATTTCAATGCGCGCGAGCTCTTGTAATACATAGCATATATGGGCAAAAACATGCCTATGCAAAATCCATTATAGCTCTTTAGGATGCAAGGTGACCCCAATTTTTTTTCATATTTTGAGCGAGTATGAATCAGAGATATGATTTCATGTCTCATTTGACCCTCAATTAACTCATGACGTCATCATAATGGCCTCCGAACTCAAAATTTCAATTTGCCTATTATGACGTCAGCATTTTTTTGGAAAATTGATTGTATCTTTCTAAAAATTGATTAATTTTCTTTAAAATTTTGATATGTTCTAGCTGAGACAATTCTCTACAAATCCAGTTGTCACAATTTTTCATTTTGACAAAGGCATCATGGCGTATTTTTGCGATTAAAGGAGGCAAGCTAATTTTTTCACATTTTGCGTGTATTCTCTATGGGACATGACTTTTTCTCAAAACTTGATTCTACATTCCCGTCTTTCGCGAGCAATATCTACGTCGTTTTAGCTTCATTTACGCTGAACTCCGAATATGTTGTAGCTGAGACAAAAAGCTATTTCAAATGTACCCTTTATTTTGTCTCAATTTTTTGTTGGATCAGCCCACCTATACTTGTTCCAAACAAGTATTACAAATCTAGTTTTATTTTTGTACCATAGGCTGGAATACTCTTGCAATAAGAACTGGTTTCCATAGGGGTCCAATATCAAAAATGAAGGAGAGAAGCAACTCAAACGATTGTGAAGGATGATGATAATCACTTCAAAAGAAAAGATAGTTTTAAGTGATCAGTTATCGTTTCTCAAAATTTAAATTATTGAAGCCCAGTGATAATTAAAGCATCAAACTTATTATAGACAAAAACATTTTTTTTCCAATTAAAGGCTAGCCGAGTTGAACTCATGTACGTAACAGTGGAATCACCAGTAATATAGTTACAGAGGTTGTAGAAGTAGCATCAGTAGTTGGAGTAGTAGTAGTGGCAGTAGAAGTAGCAGTAGTAGTAGTACAAGTAGTAGGAGAAGTTGATGTAGTAGTAGTAGTAATAGTAATAGGTTTAATGGTATTAGTAGTGACTACAGTAGGCACATTAGTACTATAAATCGTAGGGCTAGTAGTACTACTAATAGTAGGCATAGTAGTAGTGGCAGCAGTAGTGGTAGTAGTAGTATTAGTAGTAGTAGAAGTAGTAGTAGTAGTAGTAGTAGTAGTAGTTGTAGTAGTAGTAGTAGTAGTAGTGGAGGTAGTAGTAGTAGTAGTAGTAGTAGTAGTAGTAGTAGTAGTAGTAGTAGTACAAGTATGTATGTATGTATGACTGTCGATCACAAGGTCCGCGGTTCGAGTCCCGCTGCGGCACTAATGTCCTTTGGCAAGACATTGATCTACATTTGCCACACTCCACCCAGGTGAAGTAAATGGGTACCTGGTAGGAATTTATTCCTTGAAACGAAGCGCGCGTAACAGCTGCACTGCTAAAGCCAGGGTAATTATGCTGCATTATTGTAGAGCGCTTAGAGACTTCTGATAAAGTAAGTGTTAGGCGCTATATAAGCAAATATAATAATTATTATTATTATTTATAAATTAATGTTCCGGAGTAATGTGGCATGTCAAACCAATTATTTCCCCGACTTTTGCGAGTTTTAGGGAGGTTTCCCGCCCGAAATTTGGGCTCGATGTGTTGTATATGGGATGCAGCGTCTTACTCACATTGCTTATAACGGTTTATTATTGAAAATCACATAGGAAAGACGTTCACTTTGAAAAACTATAAGCAAGATAATAGACAGCTTGATTCAAAGCACGGAACTTTTCCCCGATTCATTTTTTATACGATACTGGCAGTATTAAAAGACCTATATAACTATGAACCCAGTGTAATTCAAACAAAATTTTACCTTCTGATAGTCTTTCACCTAATTCAACAAGTCGTAATTCACGGAGCTTGCTTGCTAGTATGGATCGAGTTTCGGTGCCGTCTCTTTGGTTATAATTCCATTTGATGAGGAGCTCTACCAGAGCTTCATTGACGTTGTTGAGATGTTTTACGATGTGTGATTGGCTTACTGCATAGGAATACCCAAGACTGTTGCACAGTTTTGAGTATTTGCCCGGACCTATGTCTTCAGCTAGTGATATCAGCTCGATTTCCTGCAAAGGCTCCATAATGCTGTGGAAAATCATGATATACAAAGAATACATATGTGATATCAACTCCATTTCCTGCAACGTCTCCATTATCACGGTATATAAGCAATACATTATGTTGTCTTTCTAAAGCAAAGATTTATGTCACTAGATCCAAGCATCGGCACCTTTAAACGAAAAAAAGGTGCTCTTATTATTTAAATTACCTCAGCGAATCTTATCACATTGAAACAAATACTTACAAAGAAAATATAACCATGACCAGAAATTGAAATGAAGATTAAAAGTAACTTATAATGTTTATATTATGTGAGGAGCCTTCGGCGACCCCACCAGTTTATTGCGTTTATCAAACATTTATGATTAAATAGCGGGGGTTCTAGGACAATTACCCCCTAGGCAATCACCCCCCGGAAAATTACCCCCCGGAAGATTACCCCAAGAGAATTACCCCCCGAAGAATTACCCCCGAGGACAATTACCCCCCCCCCCAGAGGACTACTACCCCGAGGACAACCGCCCCCGAGGACTACTACCCCCGTGGACAATCCCCCCCCCCCGAGGACAATTACCCCCGAGGCCGCCGAATGTACATAAATAAAAAGTGATGTATTCGGTCATGACCTTGATACACGAATATGAGAATATTCGGGCCCCTCGTTGCCCTTGTTTATCATGTTCCTAAACGTAATGAGTGAGGTACCTTAAATATTTTTAGCAAGCGACGAAGGCAGAGACCTCATTTTTTGTTCTCATGTAATTACATACACTAACCATTTCTGATATTTGTTTTTCACAAAATCAACGTTTTTCAAATGTAACTAACATTCTCTTGCGGCACCCCGCTTGAAAAATGCTGCGCTCGAGTTACCAATCCAAATGAGATGATTTACCAGAGAGCGGATATTAATTTTCTTTTGACATACAAGAAAACATATTATACTTTAGCATGACAACAGAAATACACAGATAACGTGAAAAAACCTTAATTCTGGATCAAGGATGGGGGCCCATTATTCATACAAAGACAAATACACGATTAACTGATCGCCAGAGGATTCATAAATGGAATTTTACATCCTAATTTCTTTGTTGTGCCATTGTTGGCGGGAGAGGCTGTATACACGAACTCAATGTTAAATTTCTAAGAAATGTAATTTCTGTTCTTTACTCAATAGCAAAACTACGGGGGAATTGGGCAACCTCCCCCCCCCCCCCCCCCACATCGAATTGAATTATTTGAAAAGACTAAAATGAACTTCATAAATAACAAGGAAAATGAGAGTTTATGAAACTTTCTGCCATTAGCAATTTGGAGAAAAGCTCGCATTATACGTCACAGTGTTACAAATTTCTCGAGGGGTAGTTGTCCTCGGGGGTAATTTTTCGGGGGGGGGGGAATTTTCTGGAGGGTAATTGCCCAGGGGGTAATTGTCCTGATACGCAAAGCGGGTGACAGTAATCACCATTATCACTCTGTTGTTGCAGTTGTTTTCATTTTTAGTTGTCAGATTTACCGTTTTGTTCCTTCTTCATGAAGACGTAAACCTAGCGCGTTTCAAACGCATGTCCAGCGAACAAGCAGCGTATATGAGCGTGCTGAATGCGTGCTGAACGTGTCTCTAACGCACCCAACGTTCTTTTTGCATGCACCCTTGAGTATACTTGGCGTGTTCGTAGCTCAGTATGGTTCGGGGACGTTGGGTTAATTCTCTTGGGTGACATCTTGAAGAACTCAGTTGCATTGGCGTCTAGCACGCTCCGCGCATACGGTCTGACGTCCTTTTGGCGTTTACATTCATGCGTCGAGCTCCGCTCACATTTTTGAGCATGCTCAAAAACTCCCGACGCACACAGCGAATGACGACGAATGCATAGCCTTGATCCAGCGTACTCGACGAACGAGTAACGAATGATGACGCACACCTAACGCACGACAACGCACTGGCAAATATTGCAAATTTTAAATGCGTGGGCCGTGCGTGACCGGGCCGCGCGCGACCGGGCCTTATTACATAGCTGACAGATTCTTTCAAAATTCAAAATGAAGTGTGTATTTGGGGTAGTTCTGCTTTTACAAGTCACTTTATCGATGGCTAGGGTATAGAAAATACATGGCACGTGCCAATGTGATGAGTATAACTGCATACTTAAGTAGGCCTACCGTTTGGTTCTGAATGGTATAGAATGTATATTTAGTCAAGATAACTATTTCGATTATACATATTTTCAAAAAAACTTGGGGGATTTGGGATTTTATTTGTCTTCGGGTGGGGTTGTCCTTTTTTTTTTTGGGCGGTGTATTTTTCATATAAAGGGAATGTCCTCAGGGGGGGGGGTACTTGTCCACACGGGATAATTGTCCTAGGGGTAGTTTTCCCGAGGTAATTTTCCCGAGGTAATTGTTCTCGGAATTTTTTTTTTTTTATCTAGGGGTAATGTTCCAGGGGGTTATTGTCCTTTTTGGGTAGATTTCAGGAAGGTAATCTACCGGGGAGGCATTTTCCAGGGGGTAATTGTCCTGATATGAAATTATAAATCACCTAATGTTAGTTGTTGTTATTGTATTTTGAAATACATGTACTATAAGAGGCGTAATACCGGTGTGTTGGCTCAGTCAGTAGAGCGAACCCCGGCCGCGTCATGGACGTTAAAAGACAGGGGTTGCTGCCACCTTGTTTTGGCGTTCAACAATAAAGGATAGAGCAACGTCGACAAGAGGACATTTTGCTCCGTTGGGGGAGGGGGGGGGGAGGTAAGTTCACCTTTTTTTAAGGTCAGCCATGGGAGTATTTTTTGTTTTGTTTTGTAATAATTAATAATAAAAAAAAAAATCCAAAGGGGGGGGGGGGGGGGGGGGTTACACACATAAAATTACCAAAGGGGGGAGTTTAACCCCCCCCCCCCCCTGCGTACGCGCCTGTGTATATGGGACTACATTTGGCATACAAATCCGTCCTGATGTTAATGATCTTACATGCCATACTTAGAATATTAAGACATTTGAAGAGCCATGCTTTTCAGGGAAAAAAAATTCTCTGATGTTCTTCCACACTTGTATAATACAATGACAACGCTCACAAATTATTGTTCACCTCTTCCCACAACTCAACCTTCTCTTCAACCGAGGAAGAAAGAGTTACCCTGTTAACTCTTATGGTGCCAAGGAGATTGGTGGTCTGTGAGCATTGTGTGTATTAATTGGGGCATATTTGCACCTCTGGCACTGCAAGAGTTAACCAATATCATGCCTACACTTCATGCGTTAATTAGCTTACAGTGATTCGTGACCTACTTACTATACCAGGCTTTTTCCTGGACGGAAACCTGTCGGACGAATTGCCCTCTTGCCCTCACTTCCTATATACGCTAGTGAACATCTCCAACGCCTTCTGATCCCGGAAATGAGGAAGGATGTACAGTGCATTAAAATTGAAATTAAAGTAAATTGTTAGGTTGTTCGTCTTATTTGAAAAGATATCTGTCATGAGGAAGGATGTCGATCACAGACGAGGAGGGACTGTAAGCTTCTTATTGCTAATATTTCACCTGATGTAAAGAGGATTCTTAAAAGCGATTTAGTTTTTCTTTCTTGTATAGCTTTTTCCTTTCTCTATTTTTCCTGGGTAATCAGGAACATTTTTTTTTTATTGGTGATATTATCAATCATGTAGGCCCAGTTCTGTTTTCGTATAGTTATTTTGAAATCTGTTGTTTGATTATATTAACGTTTTATGCACATTGTTTTAATGGAAAATGTATAATACTGAATGAAAGAGCAAATAACAAAACATATTTCGTGTTTTAATTTAGTATCACTGTTGCTTTTTAGTAACCTTTCAATTCGAAACGAATCGAATTGATTAAACGAAATTCAGTATTAATGGGGTGGGTTAGATAAAAAGAAAGATGGTGTCTTGAATAATATTTTGAATATGAAGGCTGAATATTATGTTTCTTGGCCATGTGTGCTCTGTGTATACATGAGTCTTTGAATTGTGTTATTATATAGTTTATGTGGTATTTATGATAGGTCAAAGTGTCGGATTGCAAAATATTTAATGTTCTATTGCAGCTGCTTCTCACAGTCAGAATATACACCTTCAGGAAAAAAAAACATAAATACTAAAGGAATACTAGCATTCTATTTGAGTTGCTGTCTTGCTAAATAGATAAATAGATAGAATAGATAACATTCGAAAATACTCTGACAAAATTATGACAAATAATTTGCATCAAGCTGAAGCATCACGAATTCTTAGTAGCAGCCCCCAAATATTACTATCTATGTACGTTTTCATAATTAGCATTTCAATGAATTAAGATTTTAAAAGCAAATCTTTATTTATAATGGACTCACTTATCAGAGTTGCTTCTTTTTGTCATGTACATGTAAACGATACGGCATACCTTAAGCCCTTTCCACACAGTCTATGTGTATGGGATGCCGTTGCTGCATAATGCTATGGTCACATAACCCAAAAGTAGCCTGCTCGGCTGCCGAGCGGCGAGTTTTTAGCCAATTTTGCCCAGGCATCGCTCGGTCGCTGCTGAAGTTTTAGCGCGGAGTTAAAATTCGGGCGGCGCCTGCTCACTTTCACTCGCCGCCCAGACTACGCTCGGTGACCGCCCGGTCGCCGCCCGGGCGCCGACCTAATCGAGCGTTCACCGTCGAGCGATTTAGGTCAAAAATCCCCTAGAAGCCCCTAGGTGAAAGGCTGTCGAGCAGTCGCCGCCCGGTCGCCGCCCGGTCGCCACTGGGAGATCAGTCGGTCACTGGGCGGCGAGTCCAAAATCGGTCGGCAGCCTTTGACCTAGCGGCTTCGATTTTAGACCTAAATCGCTTGGCGGCGAACGCTCGATTAGTTCGGTGCCCGGGCGGCGAACGGCCAGGCATCGGGCGTATTTTGGAGCCCCGCCGATTTCTGGCCGGCCGCCGGGCAATTTCTTTACAATCAGCCGGTGGCTGGTGGGAGACCGCCCGGCAATTGGAGGGTCACCGGTCGGTCACTGCCGGGACACCTCGGG